GCCCCCCCCCCCCCAGGACTCTCTCAGGAGAGGCGGTGTAGATAATGGGATGGAATTATACGACTCCTCAAGTGGCTAACCCTTCATGAAACCACGCATTGAAATTTCTGACTGATTGCAATGAGGTAGTCTTTCATGATCCCTAGAAGATGAATTATTCTGAATGTAGATGTTATGTACTTAGCTTACACCATCAGAAAGTCAGAGTTTTCACTTATTTGATGAATCTCAATAACTGCTGCACAGGTTGGCATGAAAATTGTCGTGGACATTGATGTTTTCCAAAGGACTCTGGTCAGAAATGAATGCATTATGGTATATTATTTAAGATGTTGGGTTTGAATGTCTATTTGTTCTAATATTGGTAGGTACTAATACGTAACATGCCCAGTTCAATGCAATGTCTCATATGTAAGTTATTATACTCAATATTGTTTCCAAAAAATAATTCATACATTAAGAAATTCAACCAATTTTCTTGCTCCAAAATGGGGGCCTCTAATGTGTCTGCCTCCAAGGGTGTAATGCACCTTTACTTCACATTACTCAATGTGCCATCCAATTAAATTACTCATTTTAATCTCCTAAATGTATTTTCTGTCTCTGATGAGATTTAAATGACATCACTTGAGTTGTATGTTTTTTTAAACCTATTACAGACAGGAAACAGTATAACACTTTGGTGTGAAAAGCATTTGCACCATTTCCCATTTGTAAAGTAACATGACCTTCTTTATTGCAGGTTCACTCATGCTTGTACTGGCAGACAAACCACTTTCTTGAATGATTGTTACATTCAGGCTCTTATTTTCACCATGCTGGGAAGTGCAGTCAGCTGTGCAAGGTGCACAGGGCGTGGTAAATGTCTTAGCTGGTTTTCTTTTACCCAGAGACGCACGGTACACCTGTGGCACGGTTGGAAGCTAGATGGGATTGGGAGAATGCATTACCACAACTGTAGGTGTGTTGGGAGCAGGCTTAATCAAATCATACTACTCCCTTTCATCCCCTTTAAAAGTAGGGCACTCGTTTCATAATGGAAGCGAGAGTCCAGAAAAGCTTATCCCAAGGGGAGAGGACAGCAACACTCAGCTATGTTTCCAAGTGTGAAATAATTTTACTGAAGCCGAAACTGAAGCCATTTAAATGATTGCATTAAGTGATAACTCCCCATAATAATCCTGTTAACATTATTCTTTGATTAAGAAAATAAATCATATCATAGCCAACACCATTAGCCTGTCTCTGCAGCAATTAAAATGTAAATGCTCTGCTACTTTTGGGAAACCTGCAGGAAGAAAGAAAAAACAGCATATGGCATTATCTTTGCGTTAGTCATCGTCTGTTCTATTTCTGCTGGTGATATAGTGTATTTCAGAGGTGAAAGACAAACAGAGAGAAGGAAGGATTCTAATCATCATTGACTTCACATTGTCATGTATGTGTCTTCCAAGGTAACCCGTCGCAGCCCACCTCACTCCACTATATGAGTCCCTACCAGATGAATGCATATGCCATGGCCCTGAAAGCAGTGGGTGAGATTATCCAGGACTACGACAGCGACAAGCTCTTTCCTGCCTATGGCTTCGGTGCTAAGCTGCCCCCTGATGGCAAAATCTCCCATGCATTTCCCCTGGTAAGATACACACACACACAGTCATGAACATACACACAAACAAACTTACTCATACAAGACACACTTGCACAGTTCACTCATAGCAGGGTGTGGTTTGGACCAGGAGCTGTCGCTGTGACAGCAGCTGGTCGCACAAGTTGAGAAGTTGGCTCATCTTCCTGCCAGCAGGACTCTCCCAGCATCCCCTGCACATCCTCCTGAGGCATAAGGGGAAACCAGTCAGAAACCGCTGGATGCTAAGCTGAAGTGAAGCCAAGTCTGCACTTGTGTTGTCAAAATCAATATCACTCCATCATATGTTGTAAATGTAACCACGCCTTTACAATGTTGCTTATTTTAAAGAATTGCAGAAAAGAATGGTGGTGATACAAACAAATGGGGAGTAAAAAGTGAGAAAGTGTCATGGAGTTATCGGAAAGTTGTTCTTAGTTCAGCGTTACTCGCAATGTCCTTAAGGCCTGTACACTTTAAAGTCATTTCCTACCTTGTGAAAGATTTACAAAAATATTTTTTTCATCGTTTTTGAAACCAGAGATTCATTGCCGTCTTATTTTAAACTCAGATGAGGTGATCAAGGTTATATCAGTTTTGATTTGGATTCAAACTGGGAGCATGGAGTTTCAAGGATGCAGGCATTCAGGCAGGGAGGGTCTAAGTAATGACACTGTCAAGTTGCATTATGGGAATAAAGGAGGCGGTACCCCAATAATGAGGACACAATTACAGGATATCTCGGCCTCTGCTGTGCTTTATAAGATAAATTAATTGTTTCTCAGTCTCTGTATGACCAACATTGAACTCCCATGGACTTCCTGATGAACTGAAGCCTGAACTTGCTAATAGTACTAGAAAGTCATGTATTTATTGCCCTCTGAAGACCCTTTACACCCACAAGTTAAGTGAGGTCAAAATGCACCAAGGAAACTTCTCAATTTTGTCCCCATTGGAGGACAGAAAGGAGGAATATCATTCAGTGCTTACTGTGGAGGCAAAATAAAAGATCTCTGAAAAAGTCAGGTAATGAACCTGCATGATGTAATGCTTGCACTTCATGAGTGTGTGTGCTGTATGCTGTGCGTTGCAGAGCGGAGACAATGATAATCCAAACTGTGTGGGAATAGAGGGGGTTCTGGAGGCCTATTTCCAGAGCCTGAGGACGGTGCAGCTCTATGGACCCACCAACTTTGCACCTGTTATCAACAAAGTGGCAAAGTAAGTTTATGCAGATTAGAATGAGGAAACAGTTATACATTTGGTATTAAGGCTAGATTTATTCTATTTTGTTTCCCCCCATTCACTTGTATCATATCCTTTAATTATTTTTATATGAATCTTGCCTCAGAGTGTATGTGACAAAAGAATAAGACCAAAGTCTGTAAATAATGCAAAATGTTTTAAATAAGTAAATAACTTAAACCCAATAGGGAGTGTTTGTCAGCAGGTATGTTTGCTGCTAGCATTTCCCCTCTCAGTTGCGAATAATCTCAAACCACTTGTATTTTAAGGGAATACAATACTTTTAAAATCTACTTTTATGAAAAAAATATAAACAAGTGGAGATGAAAGCACTTTGCAAGTAAACAGGCTGCATTATGGATTTATTGCTCATCTTTTTATGCCGTTTTTGTTTAAGTAGTGAAACAAAATTTTTAGAACAATTAGGCAGTTTATTGTGGTTAAGGAGAGTTTAAAATGTGTTAAACACTAGGAAGCAATGCAAACAATATCGTTTATCGTCAAAAACTAACCTGGATGCCAAATAGATAATGGGATAGTATATTGCATCTCTGTTACCTCTTCAAAACAGCCATGTGGAATAGATTACACAGTGACATGAAAGAAATCTGTTCAGAATTTTCACATATACAGTAACTTATTCCAGCTCTGGATGTGAGAGGCATACGAGGAGGAGCTTGACTAACTGAAAACAGCCTTTAATAAAATTATGTTTTGAAAGTGGCCTTCAGATGTCTGGTGTAAAAGTTGTATTTCCAAATTAAATTTGTATTGTAAATGATTCCATTCCAACGATGTGGTAGTGGTCACAGGAAAAATGCATTTTAGAGAAATTCAGAACAGACTTGATGAGTTGACTGGAGCTCTGCATAGTAGAACACATTACACAAAGGTTGACGGTGCATTTATTTGAATTGTTTGAAATATGAGGAGGCACATACAGTATAAAGCATCCTCTGTATATTGAGCAAGATTCATAGTTAAAACATGTAAAGGACTCTGATGAGATCATGATCCATTGCTCAGAACAACACACAGATGAATAATAGACATGATGAAGCCTTTGTGTGCATGTAAAACACACAAGAAAAAAAATATTAATTTTATCATTTAAAATGAATTTAGATTAAGCTTTATATTATGATATCTGCAATGGAAACAATCTCATTCATTTCCAGCTTTTGTTTAAAAAGCAATGTTTGAATTGAACATAATGAGCATGAATTCTGAAGGAATATAGGTATACTGAGTTTAAATAGAATGATAAAATAAAAACTGTGGTTTATGGAGAGCAGTTTGGAGGTTTGATTTAGAGAACAGGTACAGATAATTGTATCATCTTCTCTTGCTAAATGTTCATTATCATCTCTATAAATTAAATGAATGGAGAATGGAGCAGGTATTAAGATAGAGCATAAGTAGGTCAGATTTTGTGATCTTTAGGATTTAGAATAATAAACACTTCATGCTCTGTCTGCTGCCGTAATTGCATTGGGTACTGACCTAAAACTAGATTTGCTTCTCCAAGAATATATTATCTCTTTGAAATGAATTATTCAGTTTGATCATTCTGAAATGGCCCAATAGTCACTGTTTTTGATGGCGACTCTTGTGACAGCTTGTGACACTTGGAGGAGTCCAGTATACTGTAGAACTGTCTCGGGTGGTCCGAAAGTGAGAAGGGCCTCCTGGCTAGACCGAGGCTAGCTGGTTAGCATGCTAACATCAGTCAAAAAAGTGGTAAAAATAGAAGCTAAACAAGATGTGACATTGTCGATGCTTTTCACTGCTGAGAGTAGCTCTTGGTGATTACAGAATGAAGTTTTTCCAGATTTCAACTGTTAATGCAAACATTGCCGATAGCTATACAGCAAACTGGGTTGTCGTGGAAACGGAAACAGTTTCCGCTCTGCTATTGGTCAGTGAGGGAGACCTGGCTCTGACAAATTTGTGCTGCAAAAGTTTAATTATTTCTTTGCACCGAGGACTTAAAATGCTTAACTTTATATGAGTTGTATAAAAAGTAAACGGCATCCAACAGCTGCCTGTGGACACATACCCTAAAAGTGATAGTTTACCACAAAATGAAAATGTATTCATTATCTTCTCACCAACATGCTGATGGAGGGGCGGGTGAAGTGTTTGAGTCCACAAAACACTTTTAGAGTTTCAGGGGTAAACAGCGTTGCAGCCAAATCCAATTCAATTGAAGTCTTCAGTAAAAAAACATTCCATGCCTCCATACTGCTCCTGTGGTGTCATCAAAGTGTCCGTAAGTCCTGACATTCAAATGCGACTCAAAACATGTCATTTACACCATGTTTTTAGTCTAAATGTCTGCTGTGCTCTAGAGGTGGGTAACAGATAATTGTTTAAAATACTATGTTATACTGTATAGTTACGTCTTAAGCTTGAGAAGACAGGAGACAAATTAAGGCAAGCGTGCTGTGGGATTTTAGTAGTAATCTGCTGCTCAGGTGTACAGGCACAACCCTAACCCAGGTATTAATGTGTGTGTTTGTGTGTGTGTGCGTGTGCGTGCATGTGTGTGCACATTCCCCAGTTGTGCAGCAGAGATTACAGATGGCTCTCAGTACTTTGTCCTGTTGATGATCACAGATGGAGTGATATCAGACATGGTCCAGACCAAAGAGGCTGTGGTCAATGTGAGTAAACACACGCACACACACACGCACACACTACAAATGCACTCAGGCACTAATGGAGAGCAGTGTTTTTCACTCACTTACATTTTGTTACTGATGCACATCTCAGCATCCTTTTTTTCTTTTGTGAGTTTTATTTTTATAACAGTAATGCTTTTGATTTTTGAATAAAGAACATTTGTTTTTCCCAGTATTCAGCTTGTAGGAAGCAACACACTTACAATGACATTGTTTCTTTGGCATTAATATAACTTTTTGAAGAGATCAATAGTTGTTTCAGAAACCTGTCAAATAAATGATTGAGAGGTTTGATCCAATCAGTTCTACAGGGGTTTACCACAGATAATTGTTATACCTACGATGAACTCTTTAAGGTAACCTCACCTGTTTTTAGGTTTATTAAAATTAAATTAAACAGTTAGCTCAAAGCTTATAAAAGTCTTTACACTTCCTGAGGATTTGACAAATTCATTACCTTTCCTGTTGTCTCCTGCACAGGCAGCATCGCTCCCCATGTCCATAATCATTGTAGGTGTTGGGCCGGCTGAGTTTGATGGTAAGATTCCATTCTAGTACTATACGTCTATATATATATACATGTCAGAGGAGAGGATGGTCACACTCACTGACAAGAAATCATCTTATTTACAAAGACAAAACATTTCCCTTCCTCTTTCCTCAGTGCCACAATCATTTAGGTGCCTCTAAATATAAAAACACATATGATGATGCAGTTAATTCATTGGAATTCCACCTGTCATGACAATCAGCACCATGACAATAAAGGGGCATCCAGCACTTGGACACCGAGGGAAATATATAAACTATGTAGATGTGACATGCATACGAAGCTCTTAGCAGACCACAGCTTAACACTGACCTTGCTCTGTGAGAGCGTACAGTGTAACAATCAATCTTTTTTTTCCTTTTCAACAAACAACTATGGCTCTTCAGAATTTCAGTAACAACACTATTATATATTATACAGTTAAAAGCTTTCTCACCAAAATATTCGGTATGCTTCTCAACAAACATGCTGAATGCTTGGTTTTCCTACCTCATCAACAATGCAGGGACCTCCTCATGACGATATTTGCTCCTCAGTGCCACTGGTGGTCTAAGGTGTGCAATAGCAGAATTTGCTTGCCAAAATAAAGTTTGCACGGAATAAACTTGAAATATAAACAGGTTCAATTTAAAACCAATAATCTTTACTTTGAAAAGACTCAAATATAAATACGTTTTGTATGAAAGGCAGCGTTTGACTTTGACCTTGACTTTTAGAGCCAACAGTGGCTGGTGAGCTGACAGGAAACCACTGCAGCAGCTGTGTCGTAATTGGGTCTTCGTATACGAGAGAGTTGCTGGAGAAAGTCAATGAAGTCAAGTGTGCAGACATCTCACAGCCCACGGATCAATGAATGGCTTTTCAGTGGGGACTGCACATGTTTATTTGAATGTTGTGTTTGTGTGTGTGTGTGTGAGTCTGTTACTGCTCAGCGGGGTGTGACGACGGAAGGCCTCATCATTGTGCTTGATGGTCTGTCATTTCCTACTTGTTTAAGCAATCGAATGTTGAAATTGGCAGTGAAAGCACTCAGGCGTGTTTGGAGGTCAGAAGATCAAACTAGCTTAACACCACCTCACCGTGTGTGTGTCTGCACTTTATGGCCAGACGTAACTGCCTGTTTTTGTTACCTGCTCTATCTGTACTTGTCTTCTTCAAAGAGTTTTAAAGCAACTAATGCGTCACCTTGACAGCTTCTGGTATTTGTCCTCATGTTTTCTGGTTCTGTCTGAGTCTGTCTGCAGCTTTAACCTCACGTTGCGCTCGGCCACCTCTCCATCGGCAGCAGCACATAACCAGGCTCTTTTGTTTGTGAGTGACTGCAGATGCAGGATAAACACTTGTGCAGGTGTTGTTTTTTAAGACCTCTCAGATTAAAATTTCCATCAGAGCGCAATGTGGGAGAAAGCACGTCCACCTAGATCTGGCGATGGTTGAAATGACTGTCTGAAAGCGCTCCTGTAACTGCACTTTGAAGCCATGCGAAGAGTGGCCAATTTATTTCCATTTTCCGACCTTTAGTGTAATTGTACTTAATTTTTTGGAATGACATTTTTGGTGAACAAAGCATTTCTAACTATTCTCCTCTGAATATCTTCCCCCATGCTGTGTTCCACTTGAGCAATTACATTAGGAAAATACAAAAGAACATCCAGTACCTTCTTTATATTCTGCACTGTGGTTCTGGTACTTAGTCATACCGTCTCTAACTTTCTGTCCTTATAGCTATGGAGGAGCTGGATGGGGACGAGGTGAGGGTATCCTCCAGAGGACGTCTTGCTGAGAGAGACATTGTTCAGGTACTCCTCATAATTCTGTTTAACTTCACAGGTTAGTCTTGGGCATGTTTCTGTCAACAGCCAAAGCATGGGGGTGTTTCCCCAAAGGAGGGGGGGTTTACTTTCAGAACGCACACTCAAACACACAAACACTGAGTAACTTCATACAATATACAACACGCATCCATCTATGGGCCACTGAAAAAGCAATGCATTGCTGAAGGGTAGGACACATTTCTATTGATTCTGGTTTTACACATCCACACTGTCTGTCGATTTGTCCAATACAAAATCATCCAGGTCAACAGGTTATTTTAAACCCATTTAATCCCAAACCTGCATCATTCCCAGTTACCACACTGTTTTTTTTTTACTGTTACCACATTGTATTTTATAAAGTAAAGTTTGTATAGAGATTTTTTAACATTCAGTGTTAATGTGGATTGTGCAGACATTGGTGTAGTATCAGCTTTTTAAATCCTCACTAACAGACATCGTCATTCCAAGAAAAAAAAAATCTTCCCCCTCCATGGTGAAGCAAAGATAGAAGACATGACAAAAAGTGAAAAACTCCTGTGGTGAGGACAGACTCTTTGTCGCACCAGGACATTGTGGATAGGGTGACAACAAGTAATAATTTAAACTGAAAATTAAGCTTTGATAAGCTGTAAGTCATTTTACAAGAAGGGTAAAGCTTCTCAAATTTGAAATGTTGCTGATTATGACATACAAAGTTAATGCAAAATGCAAATGGACACAAATCTCTTCTGCCAGCCGATGCAAAATTCAAGTCATTCGTGTCTATCACTTGAGTAGAAGTGTTTGAACCAGAAAAAAGGGTCTGACATGATGTTGCGAAAGCCAATCAATGTTGAGAATGAAAATGATCTAACTAAGGTCCTGACACTGATCCGAGCTGGATGATCATGAAACTGGTCAGCTTCAGGTAGTGCTAGAAATGACCATCAACCAGACGTTACTCCTGAAATTCTTAGAGCTTTGTGTATCTCTGCATGGTCATACAGAACCACACACAACTAAGACGCTGGTTTCTCTGGCATGACCACAACAGGAACAACATAGCAACTGTAGACACTTCAGACAGTAGTCTTTCTCTCCTGACAAATATTTGCTCACTCGAGTAGCACTACTAAACTCAAATGATCCTGCAGCACATACAGTTTGTTAGCTGTTGGTTTCTCTGACAAAGCCAAACATGAGTAAATTTCACCATGAGATTTGGAAAAATGTACTTATAATTTTGTTGTTGATATTTGACATTCTATCCTGACTTCAAGGAGAAGAGAGGGCATTAACAACTGTGGTTATGGGATTATTTACATGAACAAAATGCTTATAAAGTGCTATAAAGTAAATATATATGACTGTAAAATAAAATACGTGTTTAACAATGTGGTTGAATAAAGCAAAAACAAATTCCATTTCCCCATTTATTTATTTGTATTCAACAGAAGAGAGAAGCTCTCTCTTTAAATTGTGTAGCAGTGAATTAATTTTTTATTTTTTTTGTAAAGGCAGTAATATTATCAAAGACAAAACTGGCAACAGTAAAGTAATTTCATAGATATGAAGCGGAAAAGTGGTTAAAATGCCACATACAACAAGACACTATTATGTTTTTTCGTACTGTGGTGGAGAAGACTGGGCCGTCAGCTGGCAGAGACTCAGGGACGATAAATGACCATGATAAATGAGCACTTCCTGTGATAAATGTGTGGTGTCTAGACGTTGAGAGGAGGCATGTGAGTGTAGAGGATTGCAAAAAGTGTCACAGTAACAATGTGACAGTGGCTGTATATATGTAGCTCTCACTTCAACACTGATGTCACATTGTATTACTTAAGTGGGCAAAATGTTATGAATCAAATCTTACAAGGGTTTGACCAAAGTGTTTTTTTGTTACAAGACATTCAACGGTAATATAGTTGCCCCCACACAAGGTTAATAGCTACATAATTGCATGCTTCCATTCCAAAGCTGTGTTGATGTTACTATAAATTCTTCACTGCCTTGTCTCCAGTTCAGTTCGCTAACAGCAGTAATCACATTTGCATGCACAGAAATCCTTTCATTGTCTCACGCTGCATTTCCATGCCTGCTTGTTGTTATTGATTTAATATGATAACTACCTCCTTCCACAGCAACACTGATCATTGTCTCATTGTAATGCATACACAAGTCATGCTCAGTTAGCATAAATATTATCCTGATTCATATTCAGTGGCCATGTGGTTGGTAATAGGGAGGAGGTTTCAATTGTATTATGGTATTCTTGTTTGAAACTCATACATTAATTCGAACTTGGGGGAAAAGGTTTGTATTCGTCAGACTGTCAGAAGGTGTTTGTCTCCTGATCCAACAGAAATAACAGCTTGACCTATTGCATGCCCCCTTGACCTATCAGTAAAGTAAGAAGTCAGTAATGTGACCTTGTTTTGCTATGAAAATCGAGAATGCTAGCAAGCAAAGCTGTCCCGAGCAGACACCAGAGAATCTGAGAAGCGGAATGTGAAAGCATGTCAGGTTCGGTTCGACTATATTCCAACGAATGGTGTGTCATGTCAAATTCATTGGAACTGGAAAAACAGCCTTTATACGATGTTGCAGTTACATATGTCTTGATTGTGACTGCAGTATAAACATCTTAAATAACATATGCAACGATTTATAAGCCTCCTTTATTGATTGTATGGTACAAGATAGCATCTAAATGAGCAGGTCTCATGAAGGGAATTCGATACAGACTTCTGCAAACCTGAACTTCATGGCATAAATGTGATGGCAGTTACATATCTTTTTAATTTCTAAATAAGGGCCATATTCAAATTTGTGTAAAAATCATGACAGCAATCATTCCAGGTCTAAAACTGTCACGATAATAGTGACTGAAGACGTAGCACAAGGTTAAATACAAAGTTCTTGTTCTGTCTACTTATGTGCACTCCAGTATTCCTCAGTGTATCATCTCTTTTGCACAAAGAAAATAAAACTGCAATAAACCTTGAAACAAAGTGAAAGAGATCATTTCTAAGTTATTACACATAATCTGTTTGCAGGTGCTGAGTTATATGACTGCATTTGTAAAAAAAAAAAAAAAAAAGTTGTATAATACCTTTTGTTTCTCCAGAGAGAGTTGCAAAAAGTTTCACTCATGTCCTTGAATGATGACAGCATCAGTTGGGACTAAAAAAATGGATGAAGCATCAATCCACTTTCTAGAAATATAAGCAAAAGTATCCAAATAAAACCAAAAAGCTGCCATCTTGCATATGTGTGGAGCTAGAGTTTGCGTAGTGCCGACAGCGGGATAAAGTATTTTGTAGCGAGGTCCCGCCGCTGATTCATGCACTCAACCAATATTAGGTGTCAATCACGTTTCACCTCTTATTTACAGCATCAAATAACTAATTATTATTAATTAAAAACAAATTTACCAGAAGTATGTGCACTTGAACATATGTCAGCGCAATAAGAACTCCACTTACATAACATAGAGTAGGCAGGATTTATGACCTATACTGCAGCTAGCCACTAGCTGGCAATCAAGGCGCTTTTGGCTTCCCTTTTAGGGAGCAGTCATGTCGGCCATCTTTTTTTACAGTATAGTCTGTTGACGGGACTGGGGACTACTAGTTCAAAAAACAAAGCCTGGTCCTCAGCTCTTCTTGAGGCCAGCAGCTACAGACTACATTAGCCACTGCTAGCATAACACACCAGTCAAATTGATTTGTGGGTAATGAAGGTAGAGGAAATAATCATGATGATATTTCTCCTTCTGCTTCATCAATTTAGATTTGTTTTTCAAAATGTGCATAATGAGTTTGACAAAATTGTAGCAGTGCACTATTACATTAAAAGTGTTGTTTAGGGACAGTTTTCTTCAGAAATAAATGCTGGTTCTAGTCTGTAGCTCTATATTCTTGGTTTTCTTACTTTTCCATTACGATGAATTGAGTATTTTATCAGAATGTCAGGCAGAACAAGAAATTTGAATGTGTTAACAAATGCCTCAGGAATAAGAACGGCAACCAACACAAACAAAAATGATTCAGAGATTCATTTATTACATATAATCTCCTACTCTCAAGCAATTTCAATAAGGCCTTGAAGCAGCACGAATCAACCCTGCAGGATCTTCTCAATCATTATTTATAATGTCATGTGTCATCATTCAAATACCTGCAGGTTTAACTAAAAACATTACTCAGTAATTCATTTCCATGCTTTTTGTATAGAATTGTTTTTATTTTGTAAGAAATGCAAGGCAAAACAATAAGTTGAGATTCATGTCGCATCTGTCAGAAAACATGTTTTTACCCCTTAGCATTAATTGCTTTATGACTACATAGCTAGAAGAGCTAGAGAAATCAGGTAATACACAAGAGTCACATTGACTCATTATGAAGAATAATTTTAAAATGTCAAATTAATGAGGGGCTTCAGTAGAAGAGGGGCTGCATGTCACATGGCTCATTAATCAAAAGCTCAACAGCCAGGGTTTTATTTTGGCACCTGATCCTTAGTTTATTTTGCAAAAAATAAGCATTGAAGCCACTGCAACAACCTCAACATCTACTGTATATACAATGAATAAATTAATTGTATATAAAACTATATTATTTTCCTTTGCTTTCAGTTTGTTCCATTCAGAGACTACATCGACAGATCTGGCAACCAGGTCCTCAGCATGGCCCGGCTGGCTAAAGACGTCCTCGCAGAGATCCCCGACCAGCTGCTGTCTTTTATGAAAAGCAGAGGAATTGAACCGCGACCGGCCCTTTCCTCCTCGCCGATACCGGGGCTCCACCGGCAAATCTGACCCCGACACAGCCACTCATCTCTGACTCGCTCCAGCCTGATTCTCTCTGTCTCTCTCCTTCTTCTCCCCCCTCTGTGTGTCAACCCCTCACTTCCCATACAATTATTTTTCACTTTAGAGTAGCAGGGAGAACGACCCGTGGCTCGCCCTCTCTCTCTCTTATCGCCGCCGAAGCTAAAGAGGCACATCAGACCGACGCAGCAGGCGATCATCCCTGACCCACCTGCTGTTGTTCCTCCTCTTCTCATCTCTGACTCACCCTCTTCTATAGCATCCCTTCTCATTTGCTGTATGAAAGGCCAGTGAGACTCAACCCCCACCCCCCTTCTCTCCTCACTGGCTGCTCACTCACAGCCTGACTTTTTAAATATGTCTGTTAGTTCCCCTCACCAAAACACACACACCAAGTTTTCATCCGTGTCCTTGTATTCAGAAGTGTTGACACTTCTCTCATTTGGCTCGAGTCCTAGGAAGTGTACCACTCAAAATTGAATAAGCTATTCCCTACATGAAAGCAGAGCCTGTGATGTACACAACCTTGGATCAAGTGCTTCTGAGGCATTTCTTTGGCTACAGTTTGACTGTAATTCATTCGAGGGAGTGGTAACCACATTATTTTACTATCGTCTTTATCATCGAGCTGGGCCAAATTTCTCCATACTGAAATTGAATGTGCCAAGCAATTAATTTTAATCCAAGCAGATGAAACGGAGAAGAGGACTCTGGGAGACTCTTTGTCCTGTGGACGTCACGCGGACGGAAGCAGACAAGTGTTGGCAGGTCAACTGTGGGGTCTCCGGTCACGTGTTCATTATCATCAGTCACACACACACACCTCTTCCTACCACACTACACCCACCCTCTCTTTGCCCAGCGTGGGCTGGAGCAGGGTGCAGATATCCCCTCCCCATCCTCCCCCCTGCTGTTCGACAAATGCCAGACTCTCCAGCTGCCCTGCAGAGAGAGGTGGACGAGGAGGAAAGGATGCAAGGAAAGGGAAAAGATGAGGATAAGGGTGAAGGCAGAAATGGAAGTAAATAGAGAGATGAAAGTGTAACTGTGTAATAGAAAGAGAAAAAGAATCAAAGAGTGTGGAGGAACGAGACGGAGATGGACAAGGCCGCAGGGGAGGAGAAGAGCAGTCAGAAATTTGTTTGATGCAGGAGGGGAGAGAAGGATGGGAGAAACAGATGGTGGCAGGTTTGAAGGCAGCAAAGAGGGAGAGATCGCCCGGTGCTCTCTTTAGTTCCATCAGTCTGTGTGCATGTTGTTTTTGGGAAAGGGATCTCAATGATGGGATAATGCACAAAAAAAGCAATATACCTGACGTCCAGTGTAACGTGTGCCCTATGCATGACCCTCACTCTCCCCTGCCATGACGTGACATTTTATTCCCAGGCAGACTGAAGCCGTGTGTACAAAGCGGGCAAAGTCTGCCACCTAGTGTTCATGCTGTGTACAGCAAGATATCCTAATTATGCATGACTGCTGTACAATCCTATACTCAACTCACACAGTGCACACGCATGACGTGACGCAGCTGATCTTACTATCATAACAACACAGTGAATTTTGACAACATAACAGAACCATGACTGATTATAACACTGCTGTGATCTTGGAGGTGAAATGTGTCACTAGTTGAAGACATGTTAGCGTCAGTGTGATGGTGTTGGCTTAGAGGGGTGTTTACGCTGTTTAATGTTACATGTTAGCATATTCATTTTTTTTAGAATACACTCCTACAATAACTGTCAGGATTTTGCATGCTTGGGAACAAGTGTGTTACAGTGTTCAATTTAGTGTCGTCATTGCAACAAAAAAAAAAAAGACAGATGGAAATATATCTGAAGAATAATATGCATTTTACTGGTGTCACTGTATATTTCCATTTGTTGAATTTCAGAGCAAACTTTGTGTGTGCGGTGTCCTGCAGAAACTCGGTATATTCAGTTACGGAAGTTCTGGGACATTGAGATACGTGTATTTTTGATATCCTGCAGTGATGTGGCCTCTTCTCGAGGTCATAGAATCCAGACATGTACGGTCTCTGCAAGAGGGCGCACCAGCCTGTAGTGTGATTTTATCTGTTCAAGAGCATTTTTTGTCTCTCTTGTCTCTGTCTCATGGCTGTACAAACATGTCTCTATTCAGCTTGTTATTCGTAGTGTTAAAAATGAATAAACACTGTATATATAGAACAGTACATGATATAAAATATTTCCCACTTAGATTAGAGCTGTCAAAGCCTTTTAAATAGGTGTGTCTAATGATAAATCTATATTGTATGTTGACGTTTTTATGAATGTCCAATTAAGAAGTGTAGAAGTTTCAGCTATAAACTTTACTGTTTTGACAAGTATCTGTGTTTTTGATATTGGGTTGTGACTTAAGTTTGTGTTTACTCACATCTCCTGAAGATGATGAAGTGCATTACAACATTGCTAAACATAAAGCGACACAATCTCACTGGTAAATGTTGTCGTGTGTTCATGGAGAGATGATTTAATGTGGAGAGAGAAGCTATTAAGGTGTTCCCGGCGGTGATTAATTCTGCAGCGCAACATGTCGCTGAGCTGAGCTGCCTCCCATCAGAATGTTTGATTGAGTGAACAGAAAAAAGCACTTTTCGTACACAGACCCATACATAATGGTGACATGTTTACCTCATACCTGATTTACGGTCTGCAAGGATTCTTCGCTAGATCCTGTAACTTTTTTTCATTTTGTGTTGAAGACTGGGCTCCTCCTCGGTTGAAAATGTATTTGTGGTGGAGGAGAGGGTGAGCGTAATCATGGTTATGTCCCAGGAAAGGCTCAGATGTATACCATCAGGAGATGTTTTTAATTTACCTGTAGGATAGCATTTAGCATGTATTTGCGACCCAAGTGGCTGTGTACAGAGAGGCCTCTGTTACAGCTGCTCACACCACAGGCAGGTGGGACAAAAATTAGTTCAGCTGCTTTCAGACATGTAGTGATTTCAAGATAATGTCAGGGGAGTGTGTGAGGATTCAAATGTAAGAGGGTTTATCCAGCCAGCACCCAGTAAAAACTCCAATATCCAAATGAGTGCCATGTGAGAAAACAGCAGGAGATCTTCTGGAGGATTTTCCATAAGCGAGTGGGCATGTTGATGTTTCTATCAAGCAACAGATATAAAAACAACTTTAACAAATCTTAAAAATTGGTGCCACACACTTAGAGGATCTGATGAAGATGTCAAGAGAGCCAAGGGACTACGCTGGTTTCGATGAGCTGTAAACAAAAATAAGTGTAGATTTAATGAGTGGCGAGAGATTTCCTTTCTTCCTGTGCAGAGATACCTGAAAGTGAATTGGTGCCAAATGTGTGTTGCTTCCTTATTTTCTTGAGAAAGTTGTAACTTTTTAATTAAAGTAGTAGAAACATCCTATTTATACCTTCTTTCTGTTATGTTAATTTTGCATTAACAGCAGAAAACATATTTTCCAGTGAAAAGGTTATATAGATTTATATGGGTTCATCCCATCACTGAAGCATATCCCACATCTATGGATGTTCTCTTATTCTCATTACTGGTCATTCAGCTCAAAAGCTGCTTATTTTACTGACAGTGTTCCATTTTTGTATGAGAGAGGTCAGTCAGATAAGGAGAGTGAAGGATGAGTATGTGGATACCCTAATGTTCCACCCATATGTGACTGCTTAACATTTAGTTTGAAAACCACTGACATTAATCTGCTGGTGTCACGACCTCCACTGCTCTGAGAAGCCGCAGGTATCAAACTGACAGTTCAGTGTGGATTTACCCTCACCATGACGTCTGACATTGACTAAAACATTCACCTTCTCACTCACCTCTCCATACAGAGTCAGTTTAGCTGTAGTTTGACACAGAAATGCAAACGTCTCCTCCTCAGAATGAGAAAAAGATTTACATACGTTTTAAAAACTTGAGCAGAGGGAGGTTCTTGAACCTGCCCATAAACTCACTTTTGCTTTGCAGCTCATTGATTTCATATCATAGGATTTCAGAACCATCATCTGGTTCCACATTAAACTGCTTAACAAAAATATTGATTTTCTACCCTTATGTCCTGGAACTTCTCGCCAAATGCCTGAAGAAGTTCAGACTCATGAGAATATTCAGATGTCACAGCAGGTTTTTGTTATTGCACAATAGGATCATGCGCTTGCCACAGTTTTAATTTAATTTCAAATGATTTCACAAGTCCCCATCACAAATTCTACAACTGTATTTATGAATGATGTTTTAACTTCGTAGCAATTAGCTTGCTTACCACAAAATGTTGCCTGGAGGACAGGATCACAAAGCTAAATCATGTTTTGCTTTAAGTTAAATGCCTAGTTCAGCATAGTAAGACGTTCACGACAATGCCAACAGCATGTTATGCTTAGCAAACACAAAGTACAGCTGAGGTCAAGAGAAGACTTCTTTTACAGGTATAAATTACAAGTGATAATATTACCAGCACTAGATTAAACTAATCAAATGTATTAGATTCCATCCTGTGTGGCTAAAAAGCTGTGTCCCAATTCAGGGGCTGCCTCTTTGGGAGGACACAGTCTATGTAGCCCTCCTTCATGCACGGCAAAGACGGTCTGGAGAAATGCATGGCCTGGTGTACAGCTGATTTCTGTAATCGGCATCACCAGCTTGCCCTGGCCTTATTGCTGTCCTCTAGCAATAGAGCTGAATGCCCCATGGTTGTATGTGTACCAGCTGTTCTGTTGAGTTGAGGCCTCATCACTTGACTGCGCCTTTACCTCTTTGAGAAATGGTTCCCCACTGAAGGGCAATGAACTTGGGGACAGGGTGGCCTGAGAAGGATCCACCCATTGGAGCCTTAGTTTCTTCCTACGAAATGGGACAGTTTAGCTGCACCACTTTGTCGCAATTTGTCTTCAAATGCAGCCTCCGAAGATACAGCCACTGAATTGAGACAAAGCTACAGATTGTGGATATAAACTAAAATGGTCAGTAATAAGTAGAAATGGTCATGGCTGATGGACTGAACCATGTGAAACAACCACATGTTCCCTGAATAAATCCACAGACACAGTTCTCTTGGTCCCACCCCATAAGTCCCTGCATAGGGATTCACTGAACAGGTTCTTTATTATCGTATAAGTATGCTGTTATGTAGACACTAGCAGAGAGGACTTCACAGATCACTGCAATTGCACAGAGGAACTGTTGGTGCTGGACATGTTGTGACAGCCTATTACACATAATGACTTAAAGCACCAGTAGCTGTGCCTGGAAGAAAACATGCTACTGAAGTAGGTGTTTTGAAGCAGACAAGCGTGGATGCATTCAGAGAGACTGAGCGGCAGTTCAGGAAGTGAAGGACTGCACTGTAGGAGCTTTAATCAAAGCGGAACGTGACGGCAGGATATCTGTCAAACCCTGACAGCCTTTACATTTCATTTGGCTACCATTGCACCTCACTTTGCTGCAGCTCTGCGTAACAAGCAGATCCTGATGTCATTACAACAAACTTTTTTTTTTGGGTTCAAAACATATTTTTTATGAGTATGTGGAAAGAAACAAGGAACAACATCTGGCACAAACGTGTGTGTGTGTGCTTTTTAAAGGGACTTGAACAAACCGGGTTTTGTGGGACTTTGGGTAATAGGTCAGAGAGGCTTAGCTCAGGGAAACTTTGGGCAAATATAAATGGAGCCTTCAAGCTTGAAAAAGAGTAAGAAAAAGGAGGCACACTTGACGTTTGCAGCTATAGCTTCTCGAGAACTTGACCAGAGTTTGAACAGACGACTGTAAGATTGTGCCTAACAACTTTTCTAGGAAATTGATTTAACTACTTGTCTCAAACAAAGGCCACAGAGGGTTCTGTGTATGCCTTCCAAAGTGGTTTCCTCAAACATTAACTGGAGCCGAGGTTTAAGTGCAGCTCAGCTCCGGCCATATGATCACTTACAGGAGTATAGAACAAATTGTAAGTGACATATTCCACTGTCCACACTGCAGAGTAATGCAAAGTAAATAATCAAGAGAAGTGTAATTGTGTCAAATTTTAAAAGCCTCAATAAAAGTACCAGTAGTTCTCCCAATATCAACAGAGTGGCCTTTCTGATTTTCCATTTACCTCACTGCCGAGCTGCTGTATAAAACAGCTTTTTGTTGTTGTTATGCTGTCACAGTTGTGAGGTGCTGTGGACGGAGTTATAAACCAAGGAGAAACATGTCAGCACAATCATACGCTGTGTAAATCCATGTAATATCTCTCCTGAGGGGCTGAGTCGTAAGCTGAGGAAAGAAATGTTTGATATTTGGGGAAATACACTTTCTTACACTGCTCTGTGGTCTTTGCATAAATTACAGTAACCTCTTACAAAACTTTTTTTAATTCTGTTTTACTACGCTATAAACAAACAAGTCATGACACGTTAATTGGTGAAAAATTATATTAACAGCATATTTGGATGAGATACTGTATTTTCCTAGTATCATTTAAATCATTTAAAACTCCTAAAAACTTAGACAATACCTTCTTCTCCATCTCTCTTGTCGTCACTGGAATCTATGAATAGGCAGAGACATAAGTTGCAGCCATTAAATCATGAGTTGGCAGTTGGGGTGTACACACTGATGCGAGCCATTTTTAGAACATAACAGACAAAGGAGGAGCTGGGATATTTTATACCCTTGTTTTGGAGTTTGAATCAACGCAAGGCTTTGTTCTCTGTGTCTGTGTACAGTTTGGATTAGGACTTCAGATCCAGGACTTGGAGGCATAATATTCTCTGTGGAGCATGGCAATAGCCATGACAGCAGTTCTTAACTTAGCCTCTGCCCTGGAAAAAAGAAAGGTTTTGGGAAACAATGGTGGTGTTATTGGATTCCTTACAGAAAAAAAGTCATGCCAATGTGTAGTAATCCCTAAGATTTACACTTTTTTTGACACTTTTAACCAGCCTCCCCATTTACAGATGAGAATTTGCATTTGTCGTAACGATTCAAACAAAGATGTGACTATAACTGTAAAATTATAAAATCTTGAGTGAATCAAAATGCTGAAGACCTTTTGGGTATCTCCTCAATTTGTATACACTGGAAAAACTAATAGGGCTGGACTAAAGAGAGAGGTGAATGATTATTTTTAATAGTTCCATGTTTTACTTCTGTCCATGGCCTTTAGAAAAATGAACGTACACTCTGGGAATGGAAAGTAAAGCCAATGAGTAGGTGCCTGAAACCTGTATTCTCTCAAATGACCGGCAGATAATTCCCTTTCTATTGAAGTCTATGAAAAAATGACTCTACCTCTCACTCTATTGATAACATCTGTAAACATTTTCTTCAGAGGTTTATGGGCTATATCTCTAGATTCAATTCTTTTCCACAGTACAGCATGATGTTCATTTTGTAAATAAGGGATCATTAAGAGTTAAATAGACGACAAAGGATGGTAAACTTTGCACCATAGAAATCATGTGATTGATTGAAGATGGCACTTCAATAATACATTTTAATTATGTAACCAAAACAGGCTGCCTAACCTGAACTTGTTTTTCACCTACTTTACCCCTGTGTAGTAGTACTCAGTAATAGGTAACCTTGGACTGAGAAATGCAGTCAAATGAATGCAAAACAATACACCTGATCCACAGTAGA